AAAAACCTCTTTCCAATAACTCTTTTTTAAACATTTCATTCAACTGAAAATAATGCAGCCAATCATTTACATATTCTTTCACTTCTTCATATGGTTTCAACTTCCATTTGTTTCTTTCTTTACTTATTAAATTCCCATATGTTATCCATTTCCCTGTCATATTGATCTTTTAAACACTCATTACTTCCAATGGCGATAACCAATATGGAGTTTTAGGTTCCAGTAAGTTTTTATACCTACTCCATACTTCAATTAGAGATCCTCTGATGATGTGGTTTTCAAAACCTTTATGTACTCTTTTTTTATCATACCATAAATATGCGTGCCACCGGAATCTATTATCATATCCTTCTAAATCCAACAGTTCTGTATGTTCTAACTTCATCCATTCTTTCAACCAGCAAAGGCATGATGCTTCATAATATAATCTTAAATCTGGCAGGGCGAAGCCTCCTCTTTCTCTTGCATCTATTAATATCTTATATTTTATTCTTGGCTTCTTCCCCTGCCAGATATATCTTGATATTATTCTTTGCCATTCTTTAAATATTGCCACACCTTTAATTATTGGAATTGTTTGGAATAAAACCAACATTTTCGGTAACACACTCATCTTTATCGTTGCAATTCTTCCCCAAAATGATAATTTCATTCTCCCCCACACCTCCAGATCTCTCTTAATCTTATTCCATATTGGTACGTAATTATTTTGAAATAGGTCAATACTCCTGGGAGTTAACATAATTCCTAAATATTTCACTCTCTTAACCACCTCTATCTCTGTCTGTTGCTGTATTTTTTCAGTTGTATCGTAATCAATATTCTTTACAATTATTTTAGTTTTTTTCTTATTTAGTTTTAAACCAGCCACCTGTCCAAATTGTTCTATCTCATCCAACAACCTCTTTGACACTCTTTATGGGATCTTCTATCGTTATAACCAAGTCATCAGCAAATGCTTTTACTTTATATTCATTACGTCCAACTGTCACACCTTTTATACCTTCATTATTTCTTACTGATCTTAAGAAGACTTCTAGGACCGATATGAATAATAATGGTGACAAAGGACACCCTTGTCTTGTACCCTTAGTTATGGCAATATTTTCCGTTGTTACATTATTCACAATTAATTTTGCTCTTTGCTCTGAATATATTGCCTTTATACCGTTCAAAAAAGATTGACCTATATCCATAAACTCAAAATTCTTTAACATAAATTCCCAAGAAACATTATCAAAGGCCTTCTCAGCATCCACAAATATTAACATCGCCTGTTTATCCTTCCTGTTAGTCAGATACTCCATTATATTAATTATATTTCTTATGTTATCTTTCATCTGTCTACCAGGAAGGAAACCTGCTTGATCCTTATGTATCATTTTCTTTAATATCCCTTTCATCCTGTTTGCTAGAATATTTGCAAACATTTTGTAATCATTATTCAGCAACGAAATCGGCCTATAGTTTTTAACCTGGGTCAAATCAGAGTCTTGTTTTGGGATAAATGTTATATAGGCTTCTTTCCAAGTCTCAGGTATTTCTTCCTTTTTTAGAATATTATTCATCACTTCTTTTAACGGTACAAGTAGGGTGTGTTTCATTTCTTTATAATATCTTGCACTAAACCCATCCGGTCCCGGTGTCTTCCCAACTCTTCAATTCTTTTATTGCCATTTTGATTTCTTCTATTTCAATTGGTTCGTTCAACTCCTTTTTATTGCTTTCCGTTATTTTCTGCACCTCTTTCCTCTTTAAATAATCTTCTATACTCCGTATATTACATCTCTCTTTTCTTTTATATAAGTCCCTGTAGAAGTCCACAAATCCTTTCCTGATTCCGTTCGGATTCTCAATCTCTTGGTCATCCACTTTAATTTTATTAATTGTGTTCTGTTCTTTCCTTTTTTAAATCTGCCATGCCAACCATTTCCCTGACTTATTTGCAAATTCAAAACTTTTCTGTTTCATTCTCTTTATATTCCATTCAACTTCTTTATTAATTATCATTGCAAATTGTGTTTGAAGCATTTTTATATTCTGTTTGACCTTTTCATCTCTAGGCCTAATTATTAATTTCCTTTCATTTTCCATAATTTGTTTTAAAATCTCTTTTTTCCCTTTTTCTCTCATTCTGTTTTTAATTGCATTTTGTTGAATAAAGAAACCTCTCATTACCGCCTTACTAGCGTCCCAAACAATACTCATCTTGGTTCCTTTATTTACATTATTTACAAAATAGTCGGTTAGACATTTCTGAGTTCTTTCCACCATTTTCTGATCATCAAAAAGGTTTTAATTTATTCTCCACCGGAAAGATTTTTCTTCATATCCTTTTAGAATACAATTAATCGCATTATGATATGATAAAACTTTTGGTTGAATCTCAGTATTTGTAATTCTCGAGGTTAATTCATTAGATATCCATATCTGATCAATTCATGACATTGATTGATTTACTTCTGAATGGAAAGTAAATTGTTTTTCTAATGGATGTCTTAACCTCCAAATATCAATCAAGTTACAATTTTCCACCATAGCAAAAAAAATTTTTGGTATTTTCCCCTCTTTTGCTTTACCCACAGCCCGTAGTCTATCCATTTCCATTGAAACTACACCATTCATATCTCCCATTATTATAATCTTTTGATCCATATACTCAAATAATTTTTCCTCGAGATCTTTGAAGAAATCTGTTTTATTACCATTCGGTGAATACACTCCAATAATTATCAATCTTTCGCCTTGCCAATTGACTTGAACAGCTATAATTCTCCCTTCTTCGTCTCCTCTTTTCCCTCTTTTTTCGTCTCCTCTTTTCCCTCTTTTTTCCTTCTTCTTTCTGCTTTCTTCCTCCTCCAGTTCTAATGAGTCTCCTTCATCACCACATGCTCCCGCCATCTCTGTTTCCTCTTCTTCATTGGTCAGCTCCTTGTATCTTCTAAAAAAATTGTCCACTTCATCCGGTTTTGTCAGTCTGTGCCTTTTCCCTTTATATGTAAATGCTACTTCTTCTGGAAATTCCCATTTGAATTCAGTTTGGTTTTTCTTCAATATTTGTACCAAATGTTTATAGTAATCTTGTTTTTTCAAAAGCCGCAATGGCACACCTTTAAAGATAATTATGTAATTCCCATCAATATTCAATCATTTCTCTCTATTTTTCTGTAAAATTAAATTCCTCATCTCTCTGTCCTTAAAAATAATCAAACAGTCTCCTGGGAACTTCTTCGCTCTAGTTGTCTTTGTTTTAATCCGAAAAGCATTTTGAATCGTTTTAGCAACATCTTCCATTTGCATATCCAACCATTGGGCAATTTCTGCCGTCAGTTTCTCTTTTATCACTTCTCCCTGAACCTCCGGCACAGATCTGAATCTCAGATTTGTCTCTCTTTGTCGAAGTTCATTCATTGCAACTGCATCCCATAGCTCCTCCTGCGTCTTGTTAACTTCTGATACATCCGCCCTAATTTTTTCCTCTTCCCTTCTCACTTCCTTCATTTCTAATTTTGTTCTTTTCATCCCTTCCTCCAAATTCTGTGTTCTTCTAGATATTTCCCTCATCTGTCCTTTTAATTCGTTAACTGTTACATCTTTTTTTTTTATCTACATGCTCTAATTTAGTCTCCATCTGTCCTAATTTAGTCTCTATATTTTTCTCACTTTTTAAATTTCTGTCTTTAATTCTGTAAACATCTTTATTATATCTCCTTTCCATTCTGGTTCTTGTCTGGAACTCTTTCTTTCCCCAGGTGTTGCACCCTCACTTTTTTTCTGCAAATGCGTCATTCTTTAATCTCCTAAAAATCCTTTACTCAAATAATTCTCGTATCTAATAAACAAAAAAAGGAAATTTTAACAGATTCAATTTTTTTTAACAAATTCAAAAAACCACAGTAAATTCCCTAATTCATCAATTATTTATGTCCAACACAAAATCCTTAAGTCCAACACCTGGGAGGACCAATCAATAAGCAGCAAATCAGTTCAGATGAAAGAAATACCCAGAAGTCAATATTAATCAAAAATCATAAGGGAGAAACCAAGCCTCTTCCTTGAAGTGAAAATATAAAAAGGAAACCACCCATTAAATTAATAAAGAGAACAAGACCAGGAGCAATTTTCTTGCCACTTATATGGCTAAATCCTCAAATCGATTTATATGTTTAACACCTTCTTGCCACTTGCATGGCTAATCCTTCTGGTTGCAAAATCAGAACATAAAAATAAAAGGAGCTCCTAATTCCTTCCAGTTTCAAAAAAGCAGACACTCTGCAGAGAGGACAGTATGCTTAGTTCCTTCCAAAAGTAACAGCAAAAATGAAAGTAACCAACCAAAGTAAAGAACAAAGCCAAGTCCCCCTCATCTAGACAACAAAATGGCGATTTGTATCCAGTTCTTATGAAGCTGGGGGGGGGGGAGGTACAGACTTCAAAGAGAGAGAAAAAACTCGCTAGCTCCCATAAATTCCTTAAAATCAAACAAAGAAAACAGGGGCACAGTATTTTTCTTCTTCTTACTCTTTCCGTTTCTAACTCTTAGCCAAGAGGGGTATATCAAAGGTTTTAAGGTCCGTAGCTACCAGCTGCGCAGTTCTTTTTTAAAAATGAAAGTAACTAACGGAGAGTTCCTCACTCCAACGTCCACAGCCGATTCACTGTCAGACTGTCAAATTTTTACTTTCCAACAGCTCCCCCTTTATCCTAGATGTAATCTTCTTCTTTTTTTAAAAAAATAATAATTTATTGCCCATTTTCACACAGTTGGTTTTTGTGCAGATTCCCACACATTTGTTGGTGTGGAATTACCGCTATTAGGAGCGGAAGCAGAGAGAGGCAAAAACAAAACGCTGAAAATGAGCACTATCATGGAATTAATATTAAGGCAGGAGATGAGACACAGAAGCAAATTATCCGGGGTTGCTTCTAGCTGCTTTTCCTTTCTAAGCTGTTCAGCTTGAAATGAGAGCAATTTTATCTGGCCCCACGTCACCGGTCCATTACGATTTCCCCGCTTGCGAGTCCTGGGGGGGCTGGACGCCACATCCTGGGCGATCTGGAGTTGGCGGTCGAGCCGCGGTATCGGGTTTGGATTTTGGGCCTGATGCCATGCCATGGTAGAGGCGGACGCAGCGTGCGGGAACCCAGCAAGCACCCTGTGGAGTAGAAACTGCAGCGTAACCCTTTCCCCAGGTAATAAGTTTTACTGGTTCACTCCATTCGGTGGAGGATAACATTTTATAACGGACCAGCGGGGCTGGAAGTATCTCTCTTTGCTGAAAATGTTTTTGAAGGCGAGTATAGGATTGATGATCCTGTATGGAGATATTCAAATGATTGAGAGTAAAGAGAACACTAGCCAACCAGCCTTCCTTTTCTGAAAGGGAGGCTGGAACTCCGGCCTTCTTTTCCTGCCGAATTAAGGCAGTTTTTAGGGTGCGGTTGGCACGTTCAACAATAGCTTGGCCTTGAGAATTGTAAGGGATGCCAAATAAATGGTGAATATTCCAAGTTTCACAGAACTGAGCAAAGGTTTTTGCACAGTACGCTGGGGCCTTGTCAGTTTTTAAAGAGTGAGGCTTGCCCATGACTGACATGGTACGAACATGATGATTGCAAACATGCTTAACTTGTTCTCCCCTTTGAGGGGTGGCCCAAATAAAGCCAGAAAACGTATCAATGCAGACATGTATAAATTTCCAAGGTGAGAAAGGGGAAAAGTGAGTCACATCCATTTGCCACAATTGGTTGGCCTCCAGCCCACGGGGATTGACACCAGGGCTGGGGTGGCCAATCTGATTAGAGCATTGAGGGCATTGTTGGATAATTGCACGAGCCGCTTCCAACGGAATTTGGAATTGGCAGCTAAGGGCTTTTGCATTCTGATGATGGAAAGCATGACTTTCAATGGGGGAGACAGGCAAAGCCCTAAGCAAAGAGTCTGCTTTTGCATTACCATCAGTGAGAAAGCCTGGGAAGGGTTGGTGAGAGCGAATGTGTACCACAAATAGTGGGTGGGAGCGATTGGAGAGAAGCAATTGTAAGGACAGAAAAAGGCTCAATAGATTGTCATCTAATAAGGGACTTACATAGCTGCCCTGTAAACGAGTTATAACATTTGCGACATAAAGACTGTCCACTACCAAATTAATTGGCTGTGAGGAAAAATGATGCAGGGCTTTAACTGCAGCTGCTAACTCAGAACGCTGAGCTGATTTTTGTGGGAGAGTATAGAGGCTGTGCCATTCCTCATTTTGTTGCCATGCAACCACCCCCCTGGAGGGGGCTCCATCAGTAAAAACCGTAGGGGCATCCAAAGGGACAGGAGATAATATGGAAGAGAAAGATAGGGAAAATTGTTTACCCATTTGCAGGCAAGGATCGGCGGGGATATGGCAATCCACCAAGCCGACAAAATCTGCTAACGCGCACTGCAAATCCATGCTAGTGGAAAGGACAGTTTCCCATTGTTCCAGGGGCATAGGCTCAATAATTTGGCGGCAATCGATACCAAAGAGGATTTTGCATCGACGGCGCCCCTTGCTGATAAGCTGAGCAAGGAGGTCCACTAAAGGAGTCACCGTGTTTTTTGGTGTATGATGTAAATATAACCATTCAATAATATGTACTTTTGATGGGCCTGACTGAATAAGGGCTGCAAAAGGTTGCACAGAATCTGCCATTATGACTACATCTAGCAGAACATTAAGAATTGCTCGGTCAACCCAGTGGAGACGCATAATTTCCTTTAACTCGGCAACGGTTTTCTGTTGAGGGGAGGTTAAGGTAATTTGCTCACCAGGAGATTGATGGCCTCTTAAAGCTGAAAAAAGCGGCCGTAAAACTTCAAGAGGGATTTTAAAATATGGTCTTATCCAATTGATATTGCCCAGCAATTGTTGTAGCTGGACATATTTCATTGTTTTTGGAACATGAAGCTCAGGGACTATAGGAATAGAATAGCTAGCTATCATTTTATGTCCCAGATAATGAAAAGGAGAGGATTCCTGTACCTTTTCTGGTGCAATTTTCAAACCATAAAGTGACAAACAGGCTACCATATCATGTTTCAATTGAGGGGGAAGGTGGGGGCCAGCAATTAACACGTCATCCATGTAATATTAGACTAAGAGGTGTGGATATTGCAGGCGGAAAGGCTGGAGGGCTTGGTTCACATAATATTGGCACATGGTAGGGGAATTCAGCATTCCTTGCGGTAGGACTTTCCATTGATACCGTTCCGTGGGCTAGCTGGAACAGTGAAAGCAAAGAATTCACGATCCTTCTCCTGTAGGGGGATGGAGAAGAAACAATCTTGCAAATCTATGATAGCCAATTGATAAGAATGGGGGATCACATTCGGATTAGGCAGACCACACTGCAAAGGCCCCATGGGTTCAAGGATGTCATTAATTTCCCTTAAATCCTGGAGAAATCTCCATTTCCCACTTTTCTTCTTTATGACGAAGATGGGGGTGTTATAGGGGCTAACAGAGGACTCAATATGGTCTGCCGATAATTGTTCATTCACCAAATTTTTTAAGGCAAGTAGTTTCTCCCCCGTTATGGGCCATTGTTCTACCCATACCGGGGTGGTTGACTTCCAGTTGAGGGGAAGTGCAAGCTTACTCATTAAATTGAATGGTCGCTTGTAATTGTTGTAGTAAATCTCTGCCCCACAGATTGAGGTGGATTTTCAGCACACAGGGCTGGATGTATGCAATGGTTTCAGAGCTATCAGGCAGAGAAACAGGCAACCATTGAACGCTTTTGGGAGAGGTTTGAGGTCCACCCACACCCCAAACTTCAGAGGCAGACTCAAGGGGCCACGTGGGGTCCCAGCAATTGCTGGATATGACAGAAATGTCTGCGCCCGTGTCAATCAAGCCTTCCAGAACCTTGCCATTGATTTTATACTTACGAAGAATTTTCTGTTCACCAATCCTCTGGATCACAGCTAGCAGCTGTGGAGAAAGGGGAGGGAGAGAGAGCTGGTGCAAATTACTATCCACAATAGAAGCAGTAGGATGAGAAGGGAGCACTACCAAGTGCGCCCAAGAATCACCCTTTTTTAACTGCATGGGCATATGGCTCCAGAATTGAACCATGATTGTGCCCATATAGTCAGGATCTAGGACTCCCGGAATAACCAGGATTCCTTCTTTGGCCGCAGAGAATTTGGGTAAAATTAAGCCTGCGACCTTAGGTGGCAGTGGGCCCGCCAACTGAGTGGGCATGAGTACAATTTCACCAGGTAAAACAGCGTCTTTGGTTTCCTGATTAATTAAATCAATGGTAAAATCAGAGGGTGTATCCTTAGGAAAGTTTTCAAAAGTGGAAGCTAACGGCGGAGGGCTCTCTATTTGTGCTGGCCCGAGAGCTGGGGCCCCATGGAGTTTCCCGAACTCCTGCACTGATTTGTCCTTTCCGCATTTCGGGCATTTTTGGGAAGGCTTAGCTTTATTGGCATCACCATTCCTGTTTGCTCCCCTGCCAGGGGCTCTGCATTGTTTAGCAAAATGACCTGGGCGTTTGCAATTGAAGCAGTTGCCCGTAGGCTTATTGCTAGCCTGGATTGCACCGGCAAGCAAGGACATCGCATGGCTCTGGCTGCCAACATCTGCACAGGTTTGAATCATATCGGCCAGGTCATATTTAGGGCGATGTATGATTGACTGCAAAGCCTTCTTGCAATCGGTGTTTGCATTTTCAAAAGCCATTTTTTTTATCAATTCATTTTGAGCTGTAGTGTTATCAATCTGCCTAGTGTTATCTGGCGAAATTCCTTTGATCGGGAGGAATTTGCCCCGTGGGAATTTGGGTCTGGCCGTCACGGTGAAGGCGCAGACCCGCTAAAAATCACAGGTGGGAGAAGCCTGTGAACGTGGGATTCGGCGGGCACCCTTTGCGCCTCCCCTACTCGCGAGGAACCCGGTTTCGGGGGTCCGGAGCGACGTGGGGTGAGTGGCGCGGTGCTTCAAATCGACTGCTTTTTCCACGGAGCGAAGCCGCATAGCTGTTGCTGGAGAGCACTGACTTTTTCCTATGGATAATTTGACTCTAAAGTAATTACCCGTGAGTAGAGCTGAAACGGGAGAATTGGATTTTTAAACGTATAATTTGGTATCAAAGCAGGGAGGTTCAATACAGGAAGTCCGCCTTCCCCTTTTGTAAATAGACTGTCGCAAGGAGGCTGCAAGCTGAAGCCTTGGAAAGCCTTTTGTAAAAGACTAAACTTTCAACGGTAAAGAACATTTAACCCCCCCCTTGGGAGCAGGAGAAGAGGGGGGGAGTTGTGGACTGAGTATGCCTGCAGGAGAGAGTGAAGAGAGTGAGAATACTGCCGCTCTGACCCTGGAAACGGGCTGCTAGTAGGACTGACGTCTTTTGGAATGTCCATTGACAGCGTTTAGAACGTTCACTGACAGTTAGCTAAGTAAGAGAAATACATTGTTTCTACAGTCTCCGGCTGTTTTTAAAAAGGAGTAAATAGTAACAGAAAACTGAAACTAACTTTGGATTGCTTGGACTGTGCTTAAAAGAGGACATTATTGATTAATACAAAATAACATAAATAGAAACTGTTTCCCCCTAGTGGAAGCTTTTGAAACTGGTTGTTTTACAAGAGTTGGGCTGGGAGAATTTCCAGCTGCAAGATAAAAAGCTGTGAGACTGGGACTGACCTTGAATCTTTTAAGTGTTATGGCAAATGGAAAGGAAAAAAACAGATCTGCCAACTGCTGAAAAAACATTAAGGTCTGGGAAGATTAGGCAGCAACCCAGGAGAAGTTCAATACCAGACCCTACTGCTCCTGCTGCTGCTGTGTCTATATCAACACAACCAAAATCAAGAGGAATGTTCTCAGAAGAGGTATTAGCGGTTGCATTAGGTAAGATAAACGATTCATTGGAACAGCTTAATAAGAAAGTGGATGTTGCAACGGAAAGCATAAACAATCTGGGACTAAAGGTGAATACCAATACAGAAACTATTCAGAAATTGATACAGGAATCCACTCTGATACGGCAGACTGCGGAGGAAGCTAGGGAGAAAGCTGCTGCTGCTGAATGTAAAGTAACACAACTGGAGAGAGAGAGAGTCCCAGCCCTACAGAGGCAACTTGATGAACATAAGTTGACGCTTGCTATGATTGAACTTAAAGAAAAACAGACGAATCTAAGGATCAGAGGCCTACCTGAATTCGAGAAGGAAAGTTTGATAGACTTTCTTACACAGGAATTTGCTGACTTTTGGGACTTGGACTTGGGACAAGAAGAGTTTAGAATTGTGAGGGCCTTCAGACTTGGAAGAGGAGGGAAAAAAGAGAAGAATACAATAAGAGACTGCTTGATTACCCTTCAAACTAAAGAAGAGAGAGACAGAATCTTGGGTTGGCACTACCAGAAGAACCTAGAAGTACAACAGCTAAGAGTGGTAATTTTTAAAGACGTCCCGAAATATCTTTTGGATCTTAGGCCTGACTACGGAGATATTGTTGCCCTGCTGAGAAAGAATAAAATTATCTTTAGGTGGGAGTTTCCCCAAGGTTTATCTTTCAGTTTCAAAGGTAGGAAAATAAAAATAAGATCAGTAGAGGATAAAGTGAAGTTTCTGCACAAATACGAAGAAGATCTGCAGAAGGGACTTGGAAAAGAGCCAAGAGTATCGGACAGAAGATCACCAGATAGAGGACTAGAGCAGAGAGCATCGGATAGGAGATCACCAAATAGGGGAATATTGGATATATCATAGAATCATAGAGTTGGAAGAGACCACAAGGGCCATCGAGTCCAACCCCCTGCCAAGCAGGAAACACCATCAGAGCACTCCTGACATATGGTTGTCAAGCCTCTGCTTAAAGACCTCCAAAGAAGGAGACTCCACCACACTCCTTGGCAGCAAATTCCACTGTCAAACAGCTCTGTCAGGAAGTTCTTCCTAATGTTTAGGTGGAATCTTCTTTCTTGTAGTTTGGATCCATTGCTCCGTGTCCGCTTCTCTGGAGCAGCAGGAAACAACCTTTCTCCCTCCTCTATGTGACATCCTTTTATATATTTGAACATGGCTATCATATCACCCCTTAACCTCCTCTTCTCCAGGCTAAACATGCCCAGCTCCCTTAGCCGTTCCTCATAAAGCATCGTTTCCAGGCCTTTGACCATTTTGGTTGCCCTCCTCTGGACACGTTCCAGTTTGTCAGTGTCCTTCTTGAACTGTGGTGCCCAGAACTGGACACAGTACTCCAGGTGAGGTCTGACCAGAGCAGAATACAGTGGCACTATTACTTCCCTTGATCTAGATGCTATACTCCTATTGATGCAGCCCAGGATTGCATTGGCTTTTTAGCTGCCGCTTCACACTGTTGGCTCATGTCAAGTTTGTGGTCAACCAAGACTCCTAGATCCTTTTCACATGTACTGCTCTCAAGCCAGGTGTCCCCCATCTTGTATTTGTGCCTCTCATTTTTTTGCCCAAGTGCAATACTTTACATTTCTCCCTGTTAAAATTCATCTTGTTTGTTTTGGCCCAGTTCTCTAATCTGTCAAGGTCGTTTTGAAGTGTGATCCTGTCCTCTGGGGTGTTAGCCACCCCTCCCAGTTTGGTGTCATCTGCAAATTTGATCAGGATGCCCTTGAGTCCATCATCCAAGTCGTTGATAAAGATGTTGAATAAGACCGGGCCCAAGACAGAACCCTGTGGCACCCCACTAGTCACTCTTCTCCAGGATGAAGAGGAACC